CCCACTTAGAAAGCTTGTAGGTATCTTTCCAACGGCCTCTTTTTAATGAATCAAGATGCAGTAAGGTTTATATATTTTTTAAAAAGTTGAATCGTAATTATGGTAATGTGGCAAAGTAGCTTAAAAATGGAAAAGAAACCAGGAGTCTAGCTGCTGAAATGTGAACATTGTGTTTCTCTTTAATTTGCTGTTGTCTTGGAACCTAGCTATTTATGCAGTGCTTTCACCTTCTGTTGCTTGTCTAAGTGCCAACTTCTTTCCCAAAGGTGTTCAGTGACTAATGCTTTGGTTACAAGCCAGAATATTTTATAAACGTCTATTTCTAGGCAGCTCTTCTACAAGTCTTAATTAAACTTTAATGTCAAGCTGAAGTTTACTTTTAGAGCTGCTTAGGTTCTTTTAGTTGTAACATGATTACAGAGCAGTAGAGGGAATGTAGGACAGTCATGTTCCCACACATTTCCTCTGTCCCATTTAACACAGTGCCACCAAGGAGATGCATATTCAACTAACTCAAAGGTTTACAGCACAGGGATGGGCGAATCACAGCCATCCCCTAAAATGTTGGGATGGCACACTATCACTCAGTTAAATTCCTCCACTCTGAGATGAAAGCCATGGTTTAGAATTACTGCTTTGTTAGTTATTGCACATTCTTCCAGCAATATCCAGCTTCTGAAACCTAAGGATCAGAAGCTAGAGATGGTGCATACAGAAGTGTTCTTCAGTCCTTTCTCCTCCATGTCTGGAATACAATCGAGGAATTATGAGGACTGCAGGATCATTTTCTCTAATGCTGTGTGGCTTCTGAGGGTGAATAACTGTATCCTATGCCATCTGAAATAATGAAGCCTCCATTATAGTACGAATAATATGAATAGGTTTTAATTAAATATAGTAATATTTTGTTGTATGTTCATTTTGAAATTAATTATGCTCATCAGTCCGATTGCGCTATATAGGAGCCAGCACACTTTCTGTGAGGGAATAGATAGTAAATATTATGGCCTTTGTGGGACAGAGATATCTGTCTCAAATACTCAACTCTGCCATTGTAGTACAAAAGCGGAGCATGACTGTGTTCCAATAAAACTTTATTTACAAAAACATGCAAACATGAATATCTGGCCATTAGGCAATAGTTTATAACCTCTGCTCTCTTATATACTTGCTTTTTATATTGCAACTCTGCAATATATTTTATGTTATTTAAAAATATTTTCTTATAAGTGTATTTTGTTATGTAAATATAGTTCATTAGTATAACTTCAGCTGATTGCCAAAATAATCCAACATTGAGATTTTAAGGAATTAATCCTGGACTGAAAAAAAAAAAATAAGAATCTGCTCACAGATAAAAAGATATACATAAAGATATATATACACACATCCAACAGAACTACGTATATATGTTCACCAAAAGACAATAATGTTTCCAAATTGGAAATTGCCAAAATTACCATTGATAGTTGAATGATAAATAAAATGTGGCATACTCATGAAATGGAATATATACACCAATGAGAATAAATAATTTTCAACTACATGTACCAAAATAGGTTAATCCCACAAACAAAATTTTGAGTAAGAGAAGCCATACACAAAAGAATCAGATACTCAAGGATTATATGCTCTGTGATCCCATTTATATGAAATACAAAACTAGGCAAAACCAGTTTATACTATTAAAAATCAAGGTAGTGAACTGGGGCAATAACTGGAAGGAAGAGGGCCTAAAGAGTTTTTCTATGGCTCTAGTAATATTTGTTTTCTTCATCTGGGTGCTAGTTTTATGCATGAATTCAATTTGTAAAAATTATTGAGCTATATGCTTAGAATATGTGCATGTATCTGTACATATGTTATACTTTGATAAATAAGGTTCAAGTGGATAAAAATCAAAATAAGAGGGGAAGAACTTTTAAGTATTAAGTGAACTGTCCAGTTTCTTAGAGTTATAAAAGTAAAGTGTCCAAAATTATGATTTTATTTGTACATTCATACTTAAGAATTAATAATTTACTTCTCAAAAGCCACACTCCCTTTCCAGTATTTATTTTGCCATGGTCATATGATGATGCCATTAACTTTTAGGTCATTTCAATAGGTGTATTACCACTAAAATGTTAGGTTGTATGAGTGGGGCACAGATTGCATGAATGTGGTAATGTTAGATAGTGACTTCATCTTAATGAAACATTAGGAATTTGTATACCATCACAGAACAAATAAACATGGCTATGAGGCTGTATAATTTGACAGAACTTATATTGATGATTTTATGAACTTTAACAGTCAATAACTTATCCAGTAATTTCCCGTTTTTTGACATGTTCCTTGGGTATAACCCAACACTTCTTTATACACACATTTTTGAATAGTAACTGTGTTGCTCAGCTCTGAGAAAACAGTGATAATCATGATTCAGCATTTCCCTTTGAGAGAACTTAGTCTAGTGGCAAGAGAAACAGTGATTTGACATCGTGAAAAGATTTTATCATAGAAATGCCCAGTGTGCTTTGGGAGAGGGAGAAGCCATCACAAGCAGTGCAGGGTGAAGGTTTTTTGCAGTGAGTAGCAAGAACTTCTAAGAATTATTGATGTTTAAGCTGGATCTCGAAAAACAAGTGTACATTGGCCAGATGTATAAAGAGGAGAAAATGTTAATGGCTGAAGGATAGCTTGAGGTAAGATACAGAACATCTAGGTGTGTTTGGACATGTGTTTGTAGATAAATAAGGCTGAAGCAAGAGAAAGAACTGTGTAGTGTACAGGAGGCAGGAGCCAGCTTTTGAAGGCCTAGATGTCATGCTAAGGAGTTGAGACTCTTGAAGCACTAGAAGAAACTGAACAGGCATGTGACATTATCTAGTCTGCTTTCTTGAAAGTGACCCTCTGGCAGTGTGAAGATTGAAGAAGACGGGAAGGAATGGAGACAGAAATCAATTATGGGTATAATCCAAGTTAGCTCAGGTTCAGTCATGATATTTTCAGACTGATTTTATTTAAAAAGTAAAAAACCTTAGGGCCGGCCTGTGGCTCACTCAGGAGAGTGCAGTGCTGATAACACCAAGGACCTGGGTTTGGATCCCTATATAGGGATGGCCGGTTAGCTCACTTGGGAGAGCATGGTGCTGACAACACCAAGTCAAGGGTTAAGATCCCCTTACCAGTTATCTTCCAGTCATCTTTAAAAACAAAAACAAAAAACCTTCCTTGGAGCAACCTAAATAATCAGAATAGTAGAAAAGCAAAAAGCAACATGCCTTTACTCCCCCCCAGCAAAAGTTGTCCCCTTCCCTGGACTCTCAGAGCCCTTTGCTCATAACTGTTTCCATGCATTTATAGTATTTGCTTATATTTATTTATAATCTGTCCTTCACTGTATCAGTGTCAGGAGGGAGTGAGGTGTGTTTTAACTGTTTTGCTATTGGGGAGCAGTGAGCACAGTGCCTGACATTGTACAGGAACTTCCAGTTATAGTCAGTCATTTGCACATCTTCAAGAAATGTTTAAAAACAGAAGTTTCAGAATGTGTTCTTAAACTCTGCCCTTACATACCCTTTGTCTTTAATCAGTGTACAAATAACTATGAAATAAAAGCCTACTCTTTGTTTAATATTTTTATAAGTAGTTTATTCAAACAATAATCTTCTATACAAATGTTGACCAGAATGGCAAAATTTAAACATTATTGAAGAAACTTTCTAAATTCTAAAGTGCTAGGTGAATATTTACCTTTCCTGTGGTTATGACTATCCTCACCTGATATTTTGCTTTGGGTCACATCTTTCTCTAGTTTGAACTAATTTTTCTAAATTTTTTTTTTTTTCCCTTTTTGTCTTTTTTCGTGTCCGGCAATGGATCACAACCCTCGGTGTTGCGCCCGCACCTCGCTCAACCAGTGAGCGGGAACCGGTCTGTCTGTATGTGGGATCCGAACCCTCGGCGGGAGCGCCGCCGCACTCCCAAGCGGCGCACTGTAGCAGTGCGCCACTGAGCTGGCCCTAATTTTTCTAAATTTTAAATTACTAGATATTTAAGAACTTGCTGCCTTTGGGGAAAGTTTATAAAATCATAACATGCTATAACTGAAAGTTTTCTTTAGCATTCAGCTATTCTAACCTCACTGAGAAAGAGAATGGGCTGTGCAGAAATTTGCAATTGCTTTCAGCTTTTATTTTAAGTAAGTGCCTTAAGCCTCAAGTTCTTTATATTTAAAACATTCTGCGGATTTCATGAAGTGTGTGTGACCCAAATCATCACTGAAAAGTAGTTATTGTTATTACAGATGGGGAGGCCCAAGCTTAGAAATGCTAAATGACATCCCCACCTCAAAGAAGTGGGGCAGTGCCAGGATCTGAACCCACTTATATGTTTGGATTTGCAGCTGTCTTTTCTTTATAATTCACAGGATGGTAAGCATTCCTGCAGTTATGTCTTTAATTTGACCTAGTTATTGGCAGAGGTGACCAACTGGCCTGCTTCAGAAATTAACTGTAGTCCAACAGATTTTAGTACCCACCACTTGCTGGGCATAGGATTTCTTCCCTAAGCCTTCCTCACTTCTGTCAAACACTCCCTCTATTCTCTTCTTCTCCCAGTTCCCCCCATTTTTACCCTTTGCTTTGGGCAGCAGTTGGTTCAACGTCTATTCAATGACTGAAGGAAGAAAACTGCTTTGCCTTTAGAAAACATTGCGAAGTAATGAGGAAAATGTTAAAATTACAGAAATAAGGTTAAGCAGAAAAGTAAAACAGAAAGACAAGTTTAATTATCACTAATTAAAAAATAAACTTTTGCTGGGTAATAGCTGACTGAATTTATCTGAAACATGAGAAATGGAGAGTTCTTTTTATATAGGGGTTTATATCTGCTTGCATGGGGTCATTCCCATTGTGGTAGTATTTCTAAATTAATATTTTATGTTCAGCATAAATTTCATATATAAGAAGATGAGATCTTTATTTCCTAAACAAGAACTAAATAACATTGCATAATTTTTCAGGCCACATGAAAATAAAACCTATCTTGCTGTTGGGAGTATGAAGACGTTAATGTTGAATGTGTCCCTGTTTAATGCTGGAGATGACGCGTTCGAAACAGCTCTGCATGTCATGCTACCCACAGGTCTTTACTTCGTTAAGATTTTAGACCTAGTAAGTACTGAAAGCTAAAATAGCATGATGCTACTTAGTAATTTACTTAATTCTTTTAAAAAACGGAAATGGTATAATTTACTTCATTGATGTAGGGTATAAATAATTGGGGTACAAGTTTTAATATTTATCATGCAGGTTTCTGGTTATTTCAAGACGTTCTCCATGCCTCTGCTCAGGATGGCAAATTCCTTGGGAGCTAAGTTGAAAGGCACCAGCTCCCTGCTTCCCAGTGCTAGGAGAGCGAGCTGCCTGGTTTCACACTCTCTCACTGCCGCATCCTTGTCTGGTACAGTGACAAGGTGCATGCTCCTCTTGGCTGGGGTCTTTGCACAAGGAACATTGGTCCTCCATGCTGGGCTCCCAGAGTTACTGCTCTTCATTTTAAGTGCACATTCTCAGCCTACTTCCCAAAGGACCTCCAACATGTCAGAGTCAGCAATTCTCCACAAATTCCAAAATCCTAGTGTCAAGCCAGTTCTTAGACAAGTTTCTCTTTTCCCACAAGAATTGGGAGTACTCGGAAACCTTTACTTACCACTGTGCCTCAGTCATGAGCACTTAAATCCATCTGTGAGATATTAATAAGGCTGAGTTTCACTTTATCCTCTGATATTTCTCTATACCTTACCATATTTACCCATCTCTTATCCAGGGACTACCTCTTCACACCAGGGGCATTGGAGAGAGGATTTTGACCTCTCACAAATATCTGTTACTCCCTTTCTCTAGAATATTGGGAGCCTATTTGCAAAAGTAAGAGGGGAAACTCAGATAGGCATGGAATATGTTTTTAAAATATATTATACCTATTGTGATTACAATCATTGTGATTAAATACCCTAAATACATTCTTACATACCAGACAGGAGAAGGCCTATGAAATATGGACCTTATAGATTCTGTCCCATGATTTTTCAAGGATTTAGGCCTTGAATCAAATAGGGAATATACCAAGATGAATGAAAGTTACAAATCCAGGAATTTTTCTGTGAAGAGTTTATGTGAATATTAGGATGTATATACACACACATATTTATATCATTTGTTTATATTTCTATTTATTCCAAAAGTAAAGAGAAAACAGTTTTCCAGAAAGTAAATACTTATGGGATGATATTCTTTTCAAAAACCGCCTTTAGACATATGTTACGAACTTCTTATTCCTTTCCTACCCAAACCAGTTGTTTCATTTTTTTCCTTTTAGGAAGAGAAACAAATAAACTGTGAAGTAACAGACAACTCTGGTGTAGTAAAGCTTGACTGCAATGTTGGTTATATATATGTAGATCATCTGTCAAGGGTAAGCATTTAGCATTTATTGTTTTTGTTTATTAACATTAATTTTTTCTATTTTCCCTTGTCTTTATGCTGCATACAAATATGTAACATTTATCTTTTTCTTTTTTACTTAGTGTAGGTAGCTAAGTGATGAAATAAAACCCAAACCAACTGGGCTTGAAATCTTTGAGCTTTGTGTTTGTATTCTTGGCAATGTTCACTGTTTTAAAGAAGGGGGGGACATGTTTATGTCAAGATGGGCATGTGAAAGTGTCAATCAGAATTCCTCTCCCCCTACTCACCCTTCCCCAACACTTCCCCCACCCCTCCCCAGGTGGTCCTGTCTGCCAGGCATGTTACTTCTGCTGTACAAAAAGGTGTTTTTGGCAAGAGTCCTCAAGTTGTGAAAGCGTTTCTAATCTTGTCAGTCTGGACCTGTCTGTCTTCATATTCAGAGTAGGCTTTGTCTCTGAATGTTACTTGTGGAAATGCTATTGGTGTACAGTCGAGCTATGCATCTATAATTAACAATAACTTATTGCTTGTTATCAAATGATTAGAAGAAAGGCAATCAAATGACCTCATCACAAAGAGATGATTAAGTTTTTCAATGATGAGTATGCTAAATACTCTGATTTGATCATCACACATTGTGTACATGTATTGAAATATAACTCTGTACCCCACGGATATTTATAATCAATGTTTCAATTAAAAAATATAAATTTTAAAAATGAATAAAATTGCCACAATCTCAACAGCTCACCTGTATCTTACTGCCTGGTGAGAAGCAGCCTATGCCTCTAGAATCGTTTCAATTCTACATTCCATAGAACATAAACTATTAAGAGAAATTAAAGTTCAGATTAGGAAAAATATGTATTTTAGATTATATAAAAAGGCTTCCCTTCTGTGTTTTACAGATAGATATTAGCTTTCTCCTGGATGTGAGTTCACTCAGCAGAGCAGAAGAAGACCTCAACATCACAGTGCATGCCACCTGGTATATTCCATTGTGAAAAAAAAATAGTTGTACTAGAGGAATTATACTGCTGTATTTTGAGGGGGGACTTTAGGAAAAACCATGAAGCAGTGGTCCATTAACTGTCTGTGGAGAAAACTTCTCCTACATAATTTATTGTTTTTTTTTTTTAAAAAAAAAAAAACACCAAAAAACAAGAAAACCATAACCAAAAAAAAACCTGTCTAGCTTTAGAAGCAACAGCTTAAAATGAGGAAAGCGCATTTCTACCAACCCTGTCCTAAAAATTTCTTACCACCACATCTGCTTTTATCCCTACTTTCCAAAAAGCATTAAACAAACCTCTAAGTATGATAGATATACATGGTATGTAATTAGTTCTCTGAAGATTATTTTTGTGCTTGATGGACTCTAATGGGGTGTTTTCTATTCATTTCTGTAGTGAAAATGAAGGGGAAATGGATGCTTTAAAGCATAACAAAGTGACTTTAGCGATTCCTCTCAAGTATGAGGTTATGCTCACTGTTCATGGGTAAGTAGATATAGAGGCTCCTGTGAAGTTTCAGTTCCATTGCTTCTTACATATTTAAAAACTTAAAAAAATAAATAAAAGGGATACTATACTGTTTCTGTCTCTTAACAATTACCTCAGTGTGCTGTCCCTTGCTTGGCTGTTCATTATTTTAATACACTCTGTAATCATCATCGATATTACATACAACTAGTGGCCAGCAGGAGGATATTTTAGTGGAAGAGCCCCAGTAAGAATCTAGCAGGCCACACTCAGCCTTTCAATTGTACACTGTGCAATCCAGGGGCACCTGGAGTCGGCCAGTGTGCAGTTTGCATAATCATACCTGGTGGTCATGGCATGTGTGAAGTTCAGAGAAGTGTGAGCTCGGCCAAATCGCCACTCTCCAGAACACGCATCTACTTATGTGGCAAATGGATTGCGACCTGAGAGAGCTGGCCACAAGGTGTCCCTTGTGCACTATAAAGCTATGAGATTGATATATACCTCTGAGCTTTCCGAGTTCCCCAACCACAGCCCTGGTCCCAGCATTCCTTGCTTTCTCACGATTTTAGTAATTGTTTGAGTCAATTCTCCTCTGATTCAAGAGAGAGATGTGTAGAGAAAGAATAAAAGGGAGGATTAAGAAAACCTTTAATGACTTTACTGGAAATTAAGCAGGCTACATTTTTAAAGCTAGAAGATATGAGATATCTAGAAGATATGAGATATAAAACGAAATAGACAGATGAGCTTTCTTGTTGCTCCAAATATAAACCATCCCCCAATTGTTTTAACCACCTATAAAGATGGACATACTGTTATATACACATAAAATGACAGCATCTGAAACTGACGGAATTGAGTACCAAGTTTGTTAGATAAAACAAATGGAAAAAAGGAGGCCATTCACAGGAGAGTAGACATAAAAAGTCATTGGGTAAAAGTTGATTGCAAGGTTCCTGGTGTTGAATGTCTGTCTCATCATCCTTCCTTGATTTTCTTATGATGAGTGCCCTCCTGTTTTTTCATCATTCATGTCTCGTTGTTTTGGGCAAGGAATGGTCTACAACTATTAAACTGCCTAAATCTACACCATTTGAATATCTCTAGTTTCTTTCCTGTTTAATGGGTCCCTAATTTGGTATTACCTAATATTAGCTGCCAAATATAAGCATTTTGAGTAGACTTCCCTAGAAAAACATTTCTTAGAGTTCATTGCTGACTATACATATCTCTAATCACAGGTTAAAAAAAAAAAGTGTCAACCTTGTATTCTAACAAAAATTTTGCCATACTTCTCAGTGTTTGAATTGTTCCCTAGACTTGAGTTTCATTACAAATAGCCAGCAGGAATTGGGAAATGGAAAGAAACAACTCAAAAATAGGTTAGATTGAGGCATAAGAGACAAGCTAAAGATGTATCCTATATTTGTCAAACTTACATGAATCATTTAAGAACTGAAAGAGAAGAAATGTTGAGCAAAATGAACCAGGCACAGTGTTGGCAAAGGCAAGAAAAGGATATTGGTGAGAACAGATACTGTCACACAGATCAGAGTACACAACCTTCTATTATTTTTTTCAATAAAATTCTTATCATGAAACAAAGTATTCCATGGTGCCTCTTAAATATGCTATAACCCAGTCTGTAGAGAAATAACTGTTTATAACACATCATCGAAGAAGATGATTAACTAAATTTGAATTTTTTTCTATCAGGTTTGTAAACCCAACTTCATTTGTGTATGGACCGACTGATGAAAATGAGCCTGAGAACTGCATGGCAGAGAAAATGAACTTCACTTTCCATGTAAGAAAAGTGAATTGTGTTGATATTTGTAACAACCTCAAAGGATATTATGGATGCATTGTTCCAGCGGATATCATGTACCTATGATGTCCCTCAGCCCTGGCTGGCCAGGGATGGCTGGAAGAGGGCTGTGGCACTGGGTCTTTGTGCCGCCTCTCGGGCTCCTGCTGCCTTTCTACTATCTCTCTTGTCTCTGGTATTTAAGCCCATTTCTCCCTACAGGACAGGTGGGAAAGAGCATGCAGGAACAGAGGTAATGCCTGAAACAGGCAAAGTTGTAGCATGAGCTGAATTCCCTAGAGATGCACACAGAAAATAGGATAGGCCAAGGGAAGGCACCTTTGGGTGAAAATCGGTGAAATCTCTTTTTGGTTCAAACTTTATGAAAGCCCTAACATAACCAAGTAAAGGAAGTACTTAGCTCCCTGTTTCCATTTAAAGTTGATTTGCTCAGCCTTTCAAGCCATAGATTCATGAACTGTGACAAGTGCTTTCTCAACTATTAAATAACCTCTTAAAAAAGTAAAGAGTACTGTCATTATCCAGAAGTATTAGTAGACTGACATAAAGCTAAATTTAAAAATTTTTACTGTCAAACTGAGATTTTTATTGGGTTTTGGAGAAAATACAACAGGTTTTTAAATACTTTTCAAAAAATGCATAAGGAGATGATATTTCCACAGATGCTGATGAAGAGTAAATTTCCACAAAAATATTTCTTGAACCAAAAGTACTATCCAAATATTCTCGGAGTTATATAGCAATCTACAGAATGGGAGTGAGTGAGTCAGTCTTGGATTAGGTGTATTTTGTAAGGCAATGCTTTTCAAAATATTTATCATAATCATGGGGTGCTTATTTTCTGGGCCCTGCTGCAGATCTGTGGAAGAATACCCCTGAAATCCTATCAATTCTTTGTATTCTCAAGTTTTTGTTACACTAGTACACACTAGTGTTGAAAAAGTTAGGCCCTCCACTTTGAAGTCCCATCAAATGCTCTTGTTAGAACTCTATGGAGGATTGTGCTTTGATAAACTAAAACAGAAATTGAGCTGGACTCTAAAAGGCCTATTTATTAATTTATAATTAATAGTTAACTATATTTTAATTAATTTATAGTGGAATGACTGGGACTAGGGATCCATGCAGTAAGTAGGCTTGGCAAGTCTGAGTATGTAGATGTTCTTGGAGGTCTAAGTGTTACTGGGTGAATAGGTATGAAGCATAATTGTAATTTAGATTGATTTACTGGCCTCAAGGAGACCTTGTCTACAGTATTGAGCACTGCTGAGTACACACTGCTGACATTTCCTCTTGCAACTGCCCTGTGTTTTCACGGCCTGGCAATTGCCACCTGTCCCAAATCCAGGAACACTCATTCAAAAGGTTATTGCGAGCCATCCTTTTTCACTCTGGTATTGTGGCACATCTTTTCTTCTGACTTCTTATAGTTGTGCTTTCAGGAGGCAATATTTTGGCCTGATCTCTTTTTTCAGGGATCTGTGATCCTCAGATTTATTAATAATAATGAAATATCATCTCCTTATGCATTTTTTGAAAAGCATTTTTAAAATCTGTTGTATTTTCTCTAAAACCCAATAACGTCACCTTTTCTAATTTTTCTGAGTGCATCAGCATTATAATTTAACTGAATAAAAAATATTTTTATTCACTTACCACTGATGATTATCCTCTCAGCAAGGAGTGATTTTGTGAAAACACAGGATTTAAAATTAGAATACCTGGCTTTTTGTCCTAACTCCTGTCACACTTTTTCCCCCTGGGGGGTGTGGTGGGGGAGGGGTGTAGCTGGCAGGCAAGGGGATCTGAGCCCTTAGTGTTATCAGCATCACGCTCTCTCAAGTGAGCTGGTGACCAGCCAGCCCTCTTGTCCCCTTTTCACTTTCATCTTAGGAGCATCATTAACACCTGTTAGCATCTTCCTTGGCTGGTGAATAGTGAAACGACTCACCTCACAGGATGCTCATGAGGACCAATTGGTCATGTTTTTCAAATATCTAATGTTGTAAACAAAAAAGCAAATGTTATTGATGTCTCTTTCTTAAGACCATTTCTGCCATAAACCATCAGTCTAGACTTTTTGGCCTGAAAAATACCAAAAAGAGAAGGCTAGGAATAAAATGACTAGAGTTTTAAATTATTAGCAAACTTTTAAAATTCTGACTATGGATATCCTGTCCACCTTTATAGCTGCCAATTACAAACCTCTACCACTATAAATGGGGTATATGGGGTCATCTAAAAGCTTTTTGATTTCTGTACTTACTAACATTTATGAAAAACATTTAAAAACTATTAAATTTTTTCCTCACCAGGTTATCAACACTGGCAATAGCATGGCTCCAAATGTTAGTGTGGAAATAATGGTACCCAATTCTTTTATTCCCCAAACTGATAAGCTGTTCAACATTTTGGATGTCCAGGTAAAAATGTGTTCCTTCCACCTGACCTTTATTAGGTGTGTCTTAAATATAATAAATGTAAACAAATCTCTTGTTTTAAGTAATAGTGCTACAATGGACATGTCTCTTTACTTATTTCAGTCACACTCAAAATTATGAATTTACCATGCATTTATTGAGTATACTTTGAATATTATACATTGCATTAGAACTGTAGAATTACAGCGGAACCTCTACATTTGATTTATACAATAACAGAATTGTGCTTTACCATCTTCATTGAATAAGTATTTTAGGATACATTTTCTTTGTGATATGGACCTGTAGAAGTAATTTAGTTGGTATAAATTGCCATAAAGCTTGAAGCCACTGTTGAAAGATTAGGATTCTAGACTTTAAGGAGGCAATATTCAAATCACTACTTAAGAAATAAGTATTATCTGTCAAAAAATATTTCCACAATTTCAGAGGTACCTGATATATTTAGAAAAGATAAGCAATTGGAACTTTAAAACTCACATGGTATTTGTTCTTTCCAGTGTTGAAGGGTTTTTCTTGCTTTCTATCATTATAGCCTACGACTGGAGAATGCCATTTTAAAACTTACCAAAGAGAGTGTGCATTAGAACGGCCGAAGGGTGCAATGGAAACCTTGAAAGGCATCTTCACATTTTTATCAAAGACTGATAAGAGGCTATTGGTAAGTCTCAATTTTTCAGGTTGTGGTTGTTGCTTTCCAACAGAGAAGGGGAACACTTAAAACCTAAAGTCAACAGGTTTGAGCTGTCAGCTGAGTGGCAGGAGAGAACACACATTTAGGCAGTATTCTTGAACATAAGGAACAAGCATGTTTGGCAGGTTGAGATAGATGCAGGGTTAAATATAATAGGATTTCATTATTTATCTAACAAGTACCCATTATTTGCCAGACAGATATTGTTTCAGACCCTGCAGAACACTAAGATGCTATCTTTACCTGAGCAACCTTTGTTGCATGAGATTAATTTGCATTCTTTTCATATTAGTGAATTTATGAAAAGAAACTGGAGAAGCAGTCATTCCCTTCAAATGACCCAAGTTTTACAGCAAACATAGAACATGTCACTTAGCAAGATTCTGATTAGTAATTTAATGTAGAGCACATGCTCCAGTTTGAATACTTTGGTTTTGTTATAATTTACAAAACAAGCATTTGCGTTTTGTTTAAAGTAAGATAATTTTTAAAATTCCGCTAAAGAAATCAGATGTTTAATCCCATTTTTATAGAAAGATAATTTTCTAAATGCCACTAAGGAGATTTTAATTATGTATAAAATATTTTTGAATAATTTTTTTTAATGTTGAACATTTTAATGTAGTACTTTTATATTCTTTTCAAGTACTGCATAAAAGCTGATCCACATTGTTTAAGTTTCTTATGCAATTTTGGGAAAATGGAAAGTGGAAAAGAAGCCAGTGTTCACATTCAGTTGGAAGGCCGACCATCTATCTTAGAAATGGTAAGTTTAAAACATACTGACAGCTTTGTGTTTAATCTGTAAATTCAGTCAGGATGGTATGGAGGTATCAACAAATTAAGAAGGAATAAATAAAATTTTGGAGTAAAACTCTTTCTTTTTATCACTTCAGCTATCTACATTGAGATGGCTTTAGTAATTAAGCAGATAATTAAGACTAAACTATGAAGTAATTAAGAGGTTTATTTTAGAAAGCATGTCTAACTGCCTAAAAGCCTTGATGAAATCAAATAAATTGACTACCTTAACATTTTGTATAACCTTAAAAATTATTTACAATCTAACATTTTAAAAATAAGGCAAATAAATTAAGGCTGTATAAAATCAAACATGTCTTTAACTTTGTAGAAAGAAGAGTGTATATTTATGAAGATTATTTTGAATAAAACTAGTTTTATTGGGAGTTGTTTTTTGGTTTCCTCATCTGTTCAGAATGGATAATTTCTCTATCTCAGGGGTGTTGTAGTTTAAATGAGATGATTTTTATGAGCTCTTAGTAATAATGCATGGCACATATTGAGCCCAAAGAAATGGCAGATGGTATGTTTTAAATGGAATGTTTTGAAATGACCACGCAGTAATCATTGTAATTTATTTTCAGCTCTAAAATGTTAAATAACCTTTACACAGTAGTTTTTTTTTTTTTTAACTTTTGAGGGTCATAGCTCTCTTTAAGAATCTGACTAAAGAATATATTCTCATTTCCCCCAACAAATGGACACATGAAAATATATCTGAAAGTTCTTTCAAACCTGTAAAGCTCATTCACTGATTTTCACATTTGAATTCAATAACTATTTGTACCAGATTTTTTTCATTAAGGTATGAAGTAGACTATATGTACTTAATTTAGAAAGAAATAAAAAAAAAGCCCAAATAAGAAGAATTTGAAGACATGTTTGTCAGATTAATAAAGTCTTGTTTGAAGATAAAAATTCAATATCCAGGAAAAAAATACACTGGAAACTTACCTCTTACTATAGTCTAACAAATGATATTTAAATCAAGTTATCTGCAAAGTAGCCATGTTTAATAAAAGGGTTTCAATGAAATGCCATATAAATTAATACCAGGACCATGCCTTTGGAACTAAAGGAAGCACTGCATTGCAATTAATTATAAATGGTGAAATAAATTAAGAACACCTCTAAATAGTAGGTAAATATGATAAATTATTTCTATTACTATGCCTTCATGAAATAAAACTATGAATCGGGCTATGGGTGATCTTTCTTTTATTAAACAGGATGAGACCTCAGCACTCAAGTTTGAAATAAGAGCAACAGCTTTTCCAGAGCCAAATCCAAAAGTTATTGAACTAAACAAGGATGAGAATGTTGCACATGTAAGATTACTCTTTTAACTGGTACCTCAAAGTTATAGGGAAAAAATATTACAAGGGTGTTCATAATTATATCCTTTGAGTACCTGAGTCAGAAAGTTAGAGTGTGACCACATCGTGGAGGGCCTGAATACTTCACTAAGCGTTGGCATTTTCCACAGTGGGCAGGAGGGAATGGCACAGGCAGTTCTTTAGGGAGGTGAATTTGGTATCAGCAAGAATAGGATGGATTGGAGAAAGAGTCATGGATAAAGCCTGTTGCACTCACTGTTCCTGCTAAACAGTTACCAATGTTTCCTGTGGTTGCGTTAGAATCAGTGAGAGAATAGGGTGGCCAGTTCTAATTATCGTTGGGAATTATGGAGGGCCTCCAAAGGAACTGTAAGTTTCTAAACTGGTGGGGTTTTTTATTTTGCTTAATTCACATAGGTTCTACTGGAAGGAATACATCATCAAAGACCCAGACGTCATTTCACTATAGTGATCATGTCAAGTAGCTTGCTACTTGGACTTATTGTGCTTTTATTGATTTCTTATGTTATGTGGAAGGTAAGCCTTTAATATTTATCAACAGTAAACCACTCAAAATGCCATCCTTCATTTCCTCAAAGCCAATGTGTGGCTCCCAAACTATTAGATTTAAATATTTGAGTATTTTAATGTTAACTTAAAAAATTTCTAAGCAAATATATAGTACTGATCTCATATCTATATGCCTTCTAAAAGATAACTTGTTTTGAAAGATGTTCTTTTTAAAAAAAAGCCTTGGAAAACACTGCAAATTATATTGAAGGTCAATTTTGGAGTGTGTGTGTGTCACTGAGAAGTCCTGCATTAACAACAACAAATGCTTCTTTAACGTAACATCACAAACTAATTTTTACTCACTAAATCTGTTGAAAGCCTTCATGATTAGTGTTACATGGGACAAAGTTGAAGAACTATTGGTGTGACTGTTTAGATTTGAGAATAGTATGTTCATAACTATACACTAGTGATTATGTTATGCTATTTTTAGGCTGGCTTCTTTAAAAGACAATATAAATCTGTCCTACAAGAGGAAAACAGAAGAGACAGTTGGAGTTACATCAACAGTAAAAGCAACAATGATGATTAAAGACTTCTTTCAAATTGAGAAAACAGACTCAGGTTATATCAAAAACAATTTAAGACACTGTTTACAAGAAAACATGAATTTTGTTCAGATTTCTTCCATGTACT